CAAATCATGGCTGGTCTATTTTATCTGTCAATCAAATGGTAATTTTCTTAATGTTTGTTACCATAGCACCCTCAGCCTGTGCTCCTCCGCTGCCTCTGTTTTCTCCAGCTTGGTTCACTGTTACAGGTAAGCAATCAAGGATTTCTCCAGGGGACTCTGGAATGAGGCGAGGGAGTGTGGAGAGGGAAGCCCACGTAATTACCACAATGACGGGCTGACATCGTAGAATCCAAAAACGACTTCCACCCCCTCACTTTAAAGATGAAGCAACTGAGTTTCTAAAACAGCAGTGCATTATGCGAACTGAGCTTGCAAACCCAACAGAACCCACCTTGACAAATTTTAGCTCAATAATGCCTAACATTAAATGACATGTTTCACCCTGACAGCACCTCAGAATTTTTCCAATTAATTTTTAAAACATTTCTTTAGTCACGTGTCAGTTTTATTCTTTAACAGAAAAAAAAAATCAAGAGCAAGCTCAGGCAAAGTGTCTTTCCTTTTATCTCCTAAGACAGAATTGGAATTAAACACATGCACGGGGATGCGCTTGTCATCAAGATCCGTGGTTAGAACATTTGGTCATGACCTTCCGTAACATCCTCAATCAAAAGCATTCTATAGTAATGGACATGCATTCTCAGATATTTCATTTTTTAAAGGAAGTTCCTGGGTTACTGAAGGATCATAGGTACACAAAGTAGCAGATGATCAAAAAAATATACATTTAAAACTTTCTAATTTGGTACATGGTGATGTGAACACCATGAAGAAATGATGCACGAGATACTAAATTTAATACGTGTGACCAAAATGGTAAAAAACCTCCTGATCATTTACAGAAATTGTTCACCGATTCCAAGGGCTGATATTCCCTTTTTTGTGAATAATAGGAATCCTAGGTATCAGTATATAGCCAATAAGACAATGACAGGAAGAACTCGAGGTCCTCTAAGATTCTGGGTGCAGAGGACTCTAAGAAAAGGAATCACCACGCCACTGGTTTGCCACTAAGGAGAAGCACCTAGAAAAAAACTGATGCTCACATGGATAGTGTCTGTCATCAGGCCATATGCAGTTATGTGCTTACAGAATACTTTTTTTGAGGTCAATAAGAAAATTAAGTGAAGAATCCTCAACATCCTAGAGGGAATTCTCCATCCTTCTGGAAGCTGTGAATTGGATGCAGTTCAAATAGGAAAACCATTATAATTAAATTTGTTGAATTTGAAGGAAACTCCACCTATTCCTTTAATTCTTAGTGAGAAATGATTGCACTTTTAACATCTAGAGTGGAAATCAAATGCTTTATGATTTTTTTCAAAAAGAAAAGTTGCTGGAGGCAAGATGAAGGTCAAGTTACTTGGTGAATTCTTTTTGACGGAACTGTGTTTAGCGATCATCACTGTGCCTAACTCAATGAGGAGGACATCCAACAGAACTACCTGTGAACATGTGAAGTTGCTATGAGCTCACCATCCAACCTAAGGCCATCCAGGTGGCCTTAGGTTATCAGCAGCCAACTGGGAAACTAGAAAAAAGACTCCCAGTTCTCTTCTGTGTTTACTCTGGTCCTTCCTGGGTACAGAAGACATTTCATGCAAAATGCATAAAGGTACCTGAGATGGCTCACATTTAATTGCAAACTTATTTATAATGTAAACTATTTAAAAATCCATGTACATTTGTAGAAGATGGACATCCAAAAATGTGCAACTTAAAATCTGGGAACAAATTATATGCATGCATGTATTACTAGGCTCCTTAGAAGCATGACAAGCCACTCCACAGTTTAGCCAGTGGTCCTCTGAGAGCTGTCCTCTATTCTAACATCATCCAAGATAAAAACCATTCTGGGGCCCATGTCTGGGACTCTTATAAGCAATGGGCAGCCAGCTGTGATGGACAGGAGTAGAAATCTCCTTGCTTAGGTCCAGGAGTGCACTTTTTCATTTCTTTTTCCTTTTGAGGTAGGGTCTCGCTATGTTGCCCAGGCTGGAGCACAGTGGCAGGATCACAGCTCACTGCAACCTCCAGCACCTGAGCTCAAGCAATCCTGTATCTGCCTTCCAAATAGCTGGGACTACAAGTGCACACAACTGTGTCTGGGGACTTTTAATTTTTTGTAGAGGAAAAGTCTTGCTATATTGTCCAATCTGGCCTCAAACTCCTGGCTACAAGCAATCCTCCCACCTCAGCCTCCCCAAATTGTGGGGATTACAGGCATGAGCCGCTGCATCTGGCCTCAGCAGTGCACTCTTAAGGGACACCTGTAACGGATGGTGAGAAATGATGGCTGCTAGTTATCAACATGGATGAGAATTCTTCAAAGAGGCATAGGTCACACCTTAGAAAAGACGATCAATATGAAAATTACTGTCTTTTTCTGTCAGATTGTTTTACAGAACTTCAGGGCAAAATGACTTCAGAATTTATCCTGTATATTTTCAAGCAATTTAAACATAAAATGAACATTAACCCAACTGAAAGTGACATAAGAACCACTGTTCTTAGGTTTCCAAATGTTCAGTGATGAGATTATCCTAGGGGGCCTCTAACAGAGATGCCATTTTTCTCTGGATCTGATGAAAAATCTCTTTTTTCCTGCCACTTTTCCGTAATGATGTAGTTATGGCTATGAAGAAGCTGTCTTTACCAAACTCGAAAACAATTAAAACTGCAGACTGGATTCTCTGCCTGTGTTGTGAAGTGAGGGATTTCATTCTACCCTGGCATTCTGAATGTGTATGGAGGAAGGGGGTGAACATTCAAACATGTATTTCAGATTCACAAATACAGGTATGTGTAGGAAAAAGATATAAGATAAACACAAACACCTCACTCTTCATTTGGTTTTTTTCTCTACTTTGAGAACTTGGTTCGAAAACTATTGTTCTTCTCTAGGACAAAAGCCAATGTGAGTGTAACTGCATAAATACAACCTGTACATAAAAATCCAATAGCTTCTCTGAAGTCCTAATGTCACAGACACCTCACTGTCCCACAATAAAACAAGGCCTTATCTTCATGGTTATTTGTGGAATGTTCTATGCAAAATTCAATATGAATTAATAGCCTGTGTCTGGTGAATTCTGTCTCAAACTCAAAGCAAGAAAATATTGATTTCCTCCTTCCCTCCTTCCCTGATTCCTTCCTTCCCTCTTCCCTCCTTTCTACCCCTCCTCCCCCTCCAGCAAAGAGGAGCTACATAAAAAATGACTTGAGCATCAATTCAGTAGAATAACATGTAGGCCTGTGAAATCATTCTACATTTCACTTTCCTGTGTGCAATGGCTATGGCTGGTTAAAGACATAACTTGCCCTTCTCCCTTATCTGTAATCCTTGCAGCAAATCCACACGGGGGCGGGTTTGACCACTGCACTTTCTAATTTACTCATGAAGGGGTGGTATCTCCAAGAGAATGTACAATAGAAACAGGATGAAGGCCAAGGCGCCTGACCTTCAGTCACGTGTTCTTCCCACAAGCTTGGGCAGCATAAGAAATACTAAAATGACGAGTTAATGGGTGCAGCACACCAACATGGCACATGTATACATATGTAACAAACCTGCACGTTGTGCACATGTACCCTAGAACTTAAAGTGCAATTAAAAAAAAAAAGAAAGAAAGAAATACTAATCCAGGCCGGGCATGGTGGCTCGCACCTATAATTCCAACACTTTTGGGAGGCCAAAGTGGGCGGATCACTTGAGGTCAGGAGTTGGAGACCAGCCTGGCCAACACGGTGAAACCCCGTCTCTACTAAAAATACAAAAATTAGCCAGGTGTGGTGGTGCATGCCTGTAACCTCAGCTATTCAGGAGGCTGAGGCACAAGAATCGCTTGGACCCAGGAGGCGGAGGTTAAAGTGAGCCAAGATCACACCATTGTACTCCAGCCTGGGTGACAGAGCAAGACTCCATCTCAAAAAAAGAAAAAGAAAAAGAAATACTCATCCAGTTCAGTTCTTATGGGGAGCTTTGGTGGACGATCTCTCGATAGCTTATCACTTAGAACAGTGTGGCTAATGAATACATATGTAAATAAGTGATGCACAAATAATTTGATAAATTCTCATTCGAGCATCTTATATGTTACTCTGTTTTAGAGGAGTTTGGTAAGTCTAATGTCAGAAGAGAATTTTCATGTACGCATACGATAGTGTTTTATCCTTGCACTTGAAAACGAAACATGCTACAACTCGAGCCACATAGTGCCAGGGACATCGTATAGCATTATCATTTCAAAAAGAGAATGCAGAGCTACAACTCGGATTATCACACCACCCTGGCAAAGGATCTTGTTCTCGCCATCTAATTATCATTTTATTAAAAAAAAAAGGCTCTTGCTCTTTATATCTTATTCTGTCTAAATTATGTAATGCTTATAAGTGTCCAGAAAAGGATGCTGATATTGGTGTTTTGTCCAGTCTGACTCATTTGCTGAAAGAAGTAAATATTGTTTAATGGATAGGCTTGTTGTGTGGCTCTAATAGACACACACACACGTACAATTTAGGCAGATATTTTTAAAGCTCTTAATACTTTTTACAGATAAAATCACATAAAAATTCTCAGAAAATTAAAAAAAAAAGAAAACAGGTAAGAGAACATCAACTTCTGACTAATTTGAAAAGCATAATTTCACTGGTCTTAGCACGTCTTCTGTTCTTACGGAATTCAAAGGCAATGCAGGCAGAATCTAACCTACGCTAGGTCACATGTAAGTATATCTAATGATTGCTAATATTTTGCCATCAGATTTCTTCTTTTACACAGTGAATAACTGTGGTCTCGGTTACAGACAGACCACGTGGCACAGAAGCTGAATCATTTCCAGAGCAGTTGAGGGGAGCGTTGGCTACTTCTATTAGTGAAAGTGCGGAAAACTACCATGTTCAAGGTTATATCAGTGAAAGGAAACGGCAAAGCAAACAAACATGACACAAGAAAGCAAACCCACGGGAGGCTGGTGCACAGACTCCCACCCGGCACCTACCTGTACAGATGAAACTGGAGAGGCCTCCGTAGATGACTTCATCATTGTCGGGCAATATAAATGGACACCTCGTCTGAACCTCCAAACAGTATTGCTTGCAAGGAATTGTCTTTCTGCAGTTAAACTGTGTGACTTCAAAGTACTGGGAACAGAGCCAGGCTTTGTAGACAATCTGAAAAAAAGAGAAGAATGAAAAATATAGAGGCGTGACAACAGAATGACAGAGGCACTGTGAGACGCGTGCAAGCGTGCTGTGGTTTCAAGTGGATCCTAGGAAAGCCCTCATTGCGAGAAAGCGTATTTACACAACGACAGCTGCAAGTGATAAAAACACAGCAACGAAAGTCTCCGCAATAAAAGCAAAACAGCACTTGATTGAGTCCCTAATTGAATGTAAAAGGTATTTTGGCCTTTAATTTTATGCGGCTTATTTGAAAATCAGTGGATTTAAACAAGAAGTTAAATTTTCAAAATCCAGGGATATCTAAAGTAAAATAAATAATTGACCCTGTTGCTTGTGCTGTGGTTACTTGCTGCAGTGTGGCTGGTCAGCCAGTTCCCTCCGCATGAGTCCCACGTCTATGCCTCCATCGGACACTAGATGGCGCGAAGCACTTTACAAAGAGGGCCCAGCAGGGGTTGGGAAACTGCTGTTTAGATCTTGGACTTTCAGAGGCACAGAACAGGCAGAAATGGACATTTACATGCATGACTCACGCCAAATGCATTAAAAATCTCACTGTCTGAAAGCCCGGAAACACCCAACATAGATCAGACATCATATGCTGTGGTGTGGTTGGGAGTAGGAGGGAAGCCTCATCAGAGCCACAGCTTCAACCTTCTAGATGAGGTGCCAGCCTCATGAATGTTTGCTACGTATTTATATACTTTCATCAAATGTGAAAGGACTGGGACTTCATTCATCTCTTTGTTTTGGTGGCTATTTGGGAAAACAAACATTGAAAAAATTGCGTTTTTCTGACACGTAGGAATAAGCTGATCTTAAATTCAAACAAAACAATGGCAGATGTACCCATTTGCAGTACAGGTCACTGAAATTCAGTTATTCTCCAGGTCCTTGGCACTAATGGCTTTTATTTATCTATTTCTAGGGTTAATATTATCCAAGTAACATTTTGCTGGTTATATTTTACCTAGAAGAATGGAGGTGCTGCACTTAAGAGATTATAAATACTTAATAGTAACAAGAATAATAGTATTTACTTTAGATATCACTGGATTTTGAAAACTTAACTTCCTGATTAAATCTACTGATTTTCAACTAAGAGATTATAAATACTTAACAATAACAAAAATAATACCTACTATTTATCAACTTTATACTTTTTTCTAAGTAAGTTGTAAACTTTTTTTTTCCATTTAATTCTCAGCATGCAGTTTTGAACATAACTATTAGTCACATTTTGCACAGGAATAATATTAAGTAATAATAATATTAGGTAATGGAAGTGGAAAATCCAGACTTTAAATTCATGTTCTGTAAGACTCCAAAGACTGTGTTCCTAATAGTTATCCTATATTTAATCTGAAAACTACTTTTAAAGCACTTATGAAATCACAAGGGAGTTTGCAGATGAACCTAAAATCAGCATGGCCTTCCATGCCCCTGGTCAATATCCATTTGGTAGAAGGAGGATTGTATTTTCTTATTCGTGACTTTTTATTAGGTTGATCAAGATGATGCTTTATTCTGTGATCAAGGTGCCTGGGTAGAGGTAAAATGAGATAAATATCAAAGTGAGATACACTTTTAAATGGCCAAAAGTAAGTTTTCTTTGCCAGTCATCAATGGTTCACAATTACCATGTAACTTGTTAGTAAAACATACAAATAATTAGAATTCTTATAGGTCTTTTGAATGAGTCTTCTCGTAACAGTGTACACTGAAAAATTGCACTAGAAGAAAATGTTACGATAGCTGAAGAAACCTCTAAGAATTCTTATGCCAACTGGAAAACGGAGGTGGGCTGTGGCTGTGTGCCTCAGAGGGACAGCAAGAGGTTGCCTCAGGGGGACAGGTGAAGGTGGGGGTGGTGCTGGCAGCAAGAGGCTGGAAGCACCAGCTTCAGAAGAAAAAATGAAATGCTTTCTTAACCAAACCATGGGGAAGTTGAAAATGTTTGTCAAAATGCCATGGACATTGACGTTTGTGTAATATGACATGATATGTAATACGACATGACATTTTGTAAACTAAGCTGTAACATAAGAATGAGCCACGTATACTCTGATTCCTGGGCTTAACGACCTTTCTCAGGTACTAGAGGAAGCAGGAGAGGCTTATACCTGCAGTTCAAACAATAACATTCCATTATGAGGACAGCTTGCTTTCCGCACACTTCTGGGATTACCTGTTTTTCTTTAATGAATGCCCTATGTAATTCCAGAAAGTGGCTCATGTTTTCGTTGGCCAAATTGTGGTCCCCATGCCCACCGCTCCCCTACAGCTTGCCTTTCCACAGTTATTCCAGTTAAAATGGGTTCTGAATAGGGAATGGTGTCCTGTAGCCATAAACTTAAGAAACAATGTCTCATCTCTCGCAGACGGTGGGGCATCCAGTATTGGAGTCTCTTCAGACCTACACATCCTCTTTGCAACCACTTTCCTCAGCACTGCCCAATGGGAACAGATCCATTTTTTTTTTTTCTGGTTCCTTAAATTCTATTTCTACTATATTTCCTTTGCAGATTTTTTTAAAACTCCAAAAGAAAGAAAGAAAAGAAAAAGAAGAAAGAAAGAAGAAAGAAACTAGTAAGAGATCACAGCATTTTTTTTTTTAAGTATCAGGTAGTAGTAGTTATGAAGAAAAGTGATCGATCGTCATTTGCAAAGCCACCGGCAGAATCCCAGACCTTATACTCTGAGCTTTAACGACCTCTCCAGCCAGGCTCCATTGTGGCATCCATTATGAGCTACCTCCTGGGCTTTGAGTGTGCAATGAAGATTCCTCATTTGAGTATTAAATATTTTCTAAAATTTTAGCTCTAGGGATAAGATACATTAGAAAACAAGTCGGGGAAACCATGTGAGCTGAGTCGAAATCCGAAGGATGGAGGAGAAATATTTTATTGCTACTTAAGAGATTAAGGCTGAGAAGCAGATGTTATATAACCAAAGGATTTATCTTCTCCGTGTAGATGTGTTTACGATAAAAGAGGCAAAGCATACAGCACATTTGCTAAAATATTTCAGAATACACTGGAAAAAGCGTGCATGGGAAGCAAAAAAAAAAAAAAATTCTTCTAGAATGTTGAAAAGTGACATAGCATGTTAGTAAAAACCTGAAAACTGTGTTATGTGAAGAACAGAGAATACCTGAGAATTTACTGTGGCTAAGAGCAAATGAGGGGTGAGGATCTTACAGTTATCTCCAGTGTCTGAGAACCGGCTATGTGCTGATGATAATGGCTTTAAACAGTAAATTGTGGAATCAGAAGATAAAAACAAGAGGAAAAACAAACAGGTAGCTATCAGCATGATATAAAGATGAGTTTTCCTGCCAAAAGAGATGCACAGAAATAAAACGAGCTATCCTCAAAGGCGCCGAGTTCTCTAGAACTAGAAAAATTCCAGTAGACTTTCAATAACTCTTGTCAAAACATGGTGAGGAGGATTCCTATGTTAGGAAGGTGAGCGAAGGCCATGGCTCCAAGACAACTCCCAATGTCTTTCTAGAAGGTTTTGCAGGAAGGGGTTGAAAAGGATGTTTTGTGGTGGCACTGGGCTAAAATAACAAATTGACTAAATCTTAAAAGTAATAAAGAACTTTCAAACGAAAGCACATCGTGAAAAATGAGTATACTTGTCTTATTTCATAAGAACTATGGAGTATAAAGAAGGTTAGAAATCTTTTTTATAATGGCTTGGCCTTCTCCTATAGAGAGAAATATTAGGTAAATTGCTTTTCTATGTGTCACTGCAGAGTATAAATAATTATATGAAATGAAAGAATAATTGTGGGAAGGAATAAAAATGTGTGCGAGGTCTCTGGTGACAGAGTAATGGCTCACCAACGTCCACCCCCTCCCCCCCCTTGATGACCGGTGCCTCCTTCTATCCAAGAAGCAGCTTGATTTGTCAGGAAATTATGCTTTGAAAGGGTATTTCAAATGGCCCACAGCCCCCACCCTCCTCCACCCTGTCCTCTGGAAATGACTATTGACCGTCACAATCTTTGCTGGACAGCTGCCCACCATACAGTGTTCTCAAGGTGCCGCCTGGAAGAGGAGCAGACTACGCTAGAAAAATAGCCCAAATGACAGCATCATTTTCACTTAATACTTGAATCGATTTTTCTCTTTTTCCCCTGAAGCATTTTCTCTCTTGCTATCTTTCCTCATAAAACCCTTGAGACTTGTTTGGGAAATGTTTTACAAATAAGGAAACGTATACAGGGAAATCAGGCAGCAAATAAGTGCAATTCAACTGTCTCCACAGCCCAGTCCATAGTTTTTTTCAGCGGAAATTCTTGTAACAGGAACTCTTCTGAGAGGACAGAAAGCGAAGGGAGCCTTGGATACGTCGGGGTCTCTGGAGTCACTAAGGTGAGACGTTCCGGGGTGGAAAGCCTCAGAGACCACCTAGCTGAGCCTCTGTTAATGCTGGAAGTGGGGCCCAGAAAGATGCAGATGGCAGCTGAGCAAGGTGAGGCCTGGACGCCAGATGCCCAGGGCCCCAGGGCACTGTGGAAATTGCACTCTGTGTTATTCGGAAGGCATCACCTGAGTATTATTCATTCTGAACATATCCTTTTTTCTTTTTCCCAAGTCACTTCATTTTGAAACTCACTTGCAGTTCTGCAGAGCGGGCTGTATGAGCCCCCACCTCTCCCTCCAGACTGATGTCCACGTCTTCCCTGCATTCGCTTCAGCTGAGAATCCCTCGGTCACCCAGGCCTGTTTGAAGAGGTGATCGGGCAGCCTTTGCTGAAGAGGCCAAGGAGAACCCAAGAGAGCTCATCTAGAAAACTCATTTTCACACTCTTAATGAAGTTTTTTTTTTTTTTTTAATTTTAAAGCTTTGATTATAACAGCATAGCCTCGGGAGACAGACCGAGCAGAAGTACTTTGCTTCCCGATTACAGGGAGTGATGTGAAGCCACGAACTCTAGAAAGAAATGCTTTACATGCAAGTCAGGATGATCCTGAAGT